CGCGCCCGCCCCGGGGAGGCAGCTGAACGCCGGACAGAGCCCCGGGTGGGGGGCCCGCCTCCCGCCGCCGCCTCGCTCGGCGCGGGTCCCGGGGGTGGCCAGCAGCAACCTCATTGAAAAGAGCTTAGGTGGGACCAGCAGTTAGCGTAATGGCTATGTCGCTGGACTCCCACGTAGTCGACCACGGTTCGAGTCCCGGACCCGGTGGCTTAAACTCACGCCGGGCGCGTGTGTGTACATGCCCAAGATCTCGAGAGGAGAATGGAGGAGAAGGGATTGCGGCGTGGCCATCCCCCCTGGGGGGTGATTTCCTGCTTTCTATCTCTCTGTCTCTCTCTGTCTGTCTGGCGAGCGCACACGCCCTATAGCAAAAACCTCTCACAAAAAAAAAAAAAAGAGCTTAGGTAATAAAAACATTTTAAATGAGATCTGCTTCCCCTTCCTGGAGCTGGGAGCCAGGAGGGAGGATGGAGTTTGCGGAGGGGGTCCGGTTACCCCGGGTGAGCTGGGGCTGGTGAGGTGGGTGTCCTGGCATGTCTCGGGCTGTGCGCGCACACCTGGCCGTCCCCCAGTGATGCATGGGAAGGGCTGTGGCACCTGCCCCTCCCCTGTCCCCAGCCCTGAGCCAGGCATCCGTGAAGACCCAGCTCGGTCCCTGCTAACTCGCACCAGCGCAGCTTCGCCTCCTCCGTTGCCAGGGAGTCAGAGTGGGCCCTGCGAGGGGAAGCTGGGCAGTGGAGACGCGTACGCCGTGGCTTCGCTGGTTAACCCAGGCTCTGCGGACTGAGCATAATATGGTCCCTTGGGTCCCTTGTGGCTGGTTACAAGGCTCCTCCCCCTTCCCGTCCCTTGCTGGTCCCAGCCCAGCTGCGGGGGTTCTGTGGAGGGGGAGCGAGCGGTCTGCTCTCAGCTGGGACCTGCCTGGTGCTGATCCCCAGGTGGGGGCATGCTGGGATGTCCCCAAGGTCACCTCTCCAGGCTTCTGTGTGCGAGCAACAAGTGGGGTCAGAAGGCAGGCTGGCTGGGACTGCCTCCGGGTGGGGCAGAGCAGACGCCAGCCCAGGCCAGCCCCGGGCATGCTGCCTCTGCCACTGCCCTGAGGACAGAGCCGAACGTAGGGTCCAGCGGCCTGAGGAGACTGCCGCCCCTCCACAGAGGGGCCATTCTGGAAGGAGGCCCAGGATGGACCTCACCGAGGTCCACGCAGGAGCCACTCCTGGCCTCTGAGTGAGCCACGTCCCAGGCCCTCAGCGGCACCTGGGAAACACAGGCCAGAAACGAGCAGACCCCGGAGACCCTGCAGTGCTGGGGAGCTGCGGGGAGCAGGGGGCAGTCCATCTCCCGCCAGGTTGCCAGCACCAGCCGTAGCTCAGACACTGCCATTGGCCACTAGCGTGTGGCCAGAGAGGCCCTGCAGGAAGCAGCCATCCTGGTGGGCCCTGGCCTTTCAACGGATGGATCCAGGGT